GCACACCTGCCTCTCCCCCCCCCACACACACCTGCCTCACCTTCTACACACCTGATTCTCTCTTTTGGACTTTCTGGACTCTTCGAAGCCTAAAAGTGATTTATTTAAACGATATCCAACCACCTTGCAAATATTCTAAAGATAGGCTTGGGAGCCTTTGCTGTTTGTATTAATATTAAAATGGTTGGTTATTGAAACAGTGAACTAATTCAAACCCTACACAGCTTACATCCCAGCCCAGGAGAATGAAAGCTTGGTCTTAAAGAGAACAGATCTCTGAGCCTAAGTGGGAGGAGAGCTGGAAGGAGCTGGTGCTGCTTGGGGCACTGGGACTCTCTGAAGAAAGACAATGTGGAAAGGTTGTTTGCTATCCAGAGTTACTCATTGCAAGGAATCCCTAACTGCTTAAGCAAACTAGTTTTGTCACTGTGCACCATCACGGAGATTTAGAAATACTTTTATTTCCCCCAGAATCCTCAAGTACAGTATCATCTGCATCACAGAGAACATCTCTTTCCTCTGGGGCATCATCCCAGAGAGCCTTCACCAATGCACACTCTGCTTAGTTACTCTCAGACAGTCTTTTGTAGCACTTTCTGTGGGAATGATGCTTTGTTTGTTTGTGGGATTGTTTAAGGAATGTCTGTGTCTTGAAGCATTAAGCTCCATGGGAGCAGGGGCCTCTTCTGTGTTGTTTCCTATGCCCCAAGCATGGTCCTTGACATCTAGCAGACTCTCAGAAAGTTTTGTGAAATGAATACACGAGTGAATGATTGCTGGCTATAGGACACCCTTCTCAGCCTTTTAATTTCTAGGCGATCAGAAGCAGGAGCTGGTGGCCTTCCACCGCCTGGCTACTGTGTACTACTCCCTGCACATGTACGAGATGGCTGAGGACTGCTACCTAAAGACTCTGTCCCTCTGCCCATCATGGCTGCAGAGTCCCAAGGAGGCACTGTACTATGCCAAGGTGTATTGTCGCCTGGGCAGACTCACCTTCCACCAGCTGAAGGTAAGAGCTACTCCTCTGGGGTTGACTTCTAATTGCTACTGCACTGTTTGCTAACAAAGATCATCCATGCAGGGCTTTTGGGCAGAAGTAAGAGGACCAAGAGGGTAAGTCAACAGGGTCAGGAGTAGTTTCACAGGGGTGCAAGGACTCTTTCTGGTCAGCTCCATTGAAGATGTGAAAGCCGCTCCTATTTGTTGATGATCACATCTCTCCTTTCTTCTTGTCCTCCCATAATTTCTGCAGTTCTTTTGCTCTGGACACATTGTCTAGGGTCTTTGAGTTCCTTGAGGGCCTACAAAAACATTTGAGTCCTCCAACCAGAGGACTATGTATTCAAACAAAATCAAGTTGAATAATGCTATGAAGTTGATATTATCTACTAAACATTCTAAGTCAACTGCACCTCATTTCTTATTAAATGAAACCATATTTTATAAGAAGTATACATGCATATGAATATGTTTGGGATAATGAGGTACATGGCTCCTTTGGATGTAAGTGTACCTCTGTCCTAAAGAAGGCTCTTGTCTTGATTCTCTTGCTTTCTGGACTGGAGGTCAATCTAGAACTTCCAGTCACTTCTGGAACTGAAATTCTGTTACAATTCTGACCCTAGAACTGTGTCCTCAAGTGTGGCTTCCCTTCAAAAGAGGTCCCTGTCATCCCCAGTACAACCTTTAATCTCTTAGTACAGTGACTTGTAAGTCTTGCCTAACTTTGACCCCAATACTCAGGACAGCTCTGCTGACTTTTCTTACTGGTTAGACTTTGTTTCTGGACTGAAATAATTATTGACTTCTGCAGGATAATGAGAGCCAGGAATATTTTTCCATTTCATTCAAAGGAGCATCTGATTTTCATCCCTACTGTGTAGAGAGAGACAGGTCTCTTTAGCCATGGTGCTGTAGTCCCTCCCATAGCTCCCAGAAAGTGGGTCAGGGATAGAGAATGTATTGTCTGATTGCATCAACCAAGGGCTCTAGGCACTGCAAAGGGAAGAACTCAATCACTTATAAGCAGAACAGGCAAGTTATTGGCTCAAATTACTGGAAAGCTGAGGAATGGATTTAGTAATCCTGCATCGTCTTCTTCCAACATCATCATGGCTCCCCCTCCTTCTTGACACTGTGCACTTCTCCTTCCTTGTCTCTCTTGTCCGTGTTCCCTGCCAGCTACTAGGAGGCTCAACCCACTTGGAAAGGATGCAGGACTATTTTCCTCGTTGGGTCACACTGAAGAGTTCCAGAGAGGGATGGCTAGGTCAGGTTTGGGCCATGCATACATTCTTGAAACACAATGTCCAGGGCAATAATATAGCATGATTGGCTGAGCCTGGGGAAGATGCCACCTCTGTGCCTGAGGAGAAGGGATGTTGTGGTTGGCAACTATAGTGCAGTGAGGAGGAGCTCCCCTGAGGTACTGGGGTGTGGGAATGGGGTATCAAGCAGTACAATGTTAATGTTCTCAGAATTGCCTTTTAACCTGTCCTGGAAGTGTTGCTAATTATTGTCTCTTCTTTGCCCCCATACCATGGGGTTAGGATGCCCACGACGCCACGGAATACTTCCTGCTGGCGCTAGCAGCCGCCGTCCTGTTGGGTGATGAGGGGCTGCAAGACACCATTAGGAGCAGGCTGGACAACATCTGCCAGAGCCCTTTGTGGCACAGTAATCCGTCGGGGTGCTCCTCAGAGAGGGCACGGTGGCTGAGTGCTGGGGGACTGGCCCTCTGAGGAGACTTGTCCCGTTTCTGACTACTTGCCATGACTGAATGCTCCCTTCCTGTCCCAGGCTCTTAGACCCTCACTGGGAAATTGTAGGTGGTACCTTTCTCCCGTGTTCTCAGGGAAAGAGCCCTCCCATTGCCAGTGGAGGACCTTATAGTTTCTATAGTTTCTTTTCTTCTTTTTTTTTTTTTTCTCTTTAAAACAAAAGAAGAGCCGGGCATGGTGGTGCACACTTTTGATCCTGGCATTCAGGAGGCAGAGGCAGGCAGCTCTCTGTGAGATCGAGGCTGGCCTGGTCTATGTTGCAAGTCCCAGGCCAGCTGGGGTTACAGGGAGACCAACACTGTCTAAATAAACCAACAAACCAAAACCAAAACCAAAAACAAAGGAATTAGCACAAGACCACTGGGAGAGAATTCAGCATGGTCCTAGCTCAGAAGACACAACCTCAGAGTGGCCAGGCGGGATGAACAGAGGGGCTAACAGATTCACCTACTCCTTCCCACCCAGAGGCAGGCTCCTGCACAACCTCCAGGAAACTCCAGTGAAGCTTACCCAGGGCTAAGGCTTGAAAATTATTCCACAAATTAATGTAAATATTGTATATAATTAAATATTGACCATGACATTTATACACACATTTGGTTTCCTTTATCATGGCATATGAGATGAGAGACTTGAAGTATGGGTTAAATATAAAGATGTCTTACTGATCTCAGAGTGGCTCTTTTGAAAAGCACCTGTTAGTTATCTGTAGTTACATGCCACACAAAGTGGCTTGTAACAACATCAGTTATCCATCCCATAGCTTTTGGAGGGCAGGAATCCAGGTATGACCTCACAATGTCTCCGATGGCTTGAGTCAAGCTCCAGTCAAGCTGTTGACTGAGGCGGCTAACCTTGGGTTCTACTGAAGAAGGAATTGCTTCCAACTTGTTCACATGGTTGTTGGCAGGAGTTAGCTCAGTCGCTGTTGCTGGGAGTTGGCCAGAAGCTGCCCACAGTTGGTGCCATGTGTGCCTCTGTGTGGGCCAGGCCACCACCTGACAGCTGGTTTCAACAGAGTGAGCAAGTCAGAAAGGCAAAAGAGAGCAAGCGAGCAAGAGCAAAGTCTGATGGGAAGTGGTACTGTTGTGGTTGGCATTATCAGTTTAGGGTCTTGGATGGTCCACTGTCTAGGGGTTGGGTTTGTTTTCTCAGCCAATTAAATAATTAAAAGACAGAAAGAGCAACAGGCAAATATACTTTTATTGAGAGATAAAGAATCACACATGCATTTTACAGAGAGATAAAGTTCTCCACATGGGGAGGGAGAACCCAGACACTGAGAATCCGAAGGCTCTAGGACAGCTTGAGCTTTTTAAAGTGTTTTAGCTATTTCTCCTCCCCTGCATTTGGGTTGGTCAACTTAAACAAAGAAGGGAAGACTCATAGACTTATGGCTTTAAATGATGAAGTGTCCAGGTCCAGCCTTAGTCTTAACTGAACTGGTTTGGACTAGTTGGTTGGAAAGTGGACCATAATGACTAGAGGGGGAATCCCAGGCCTTTGTCTCAGATACAGAAAACAGAAAGGTACCATTTTAATTACTTCTTAGAGACCCGGTTTGTTTATTAGGGATTTCTTTCCTTACAGTGCCCCTTTGTTTTACTAGGTCACTAGGACCAGCTTACCCAAGAGAGGGGTGGTTGATTAGCAAGGGCACGAATACCAGGAGGTGGGGAATTATTGAAATCATTTCAGGAATTGCTTACCATCTAACAGTTCTCTGGTAATTGAACTGGGAATTCCCTAAGGCAGCAAACTCAAATTCTGTTCCCACAGCTAGTGGTCAGGTCAGCGTCAGCTGACTGACACTGTCTGAAGTACAGATTCTAGGCCTGCACCTGAGCCAATCCGAATGGAAATCTTTGGAGCCCAGAGCGCTGGCTCTCACAAAGCTCTTTAGGTGATTCAGTACAAGTTTGAGCAGCACTGTTCCTGGACAAGAGTTCTCAGGCAGCATGCATAAAGATTGCCTGGAGAACACGCTGACCGTAAACTTTTTGGTTCCTGCTCCTCGAAGCGCTGGTTCAGTGAGTCAGGGATATGTCTCAGGAACACACATATTGGAAGAGCAGCACCAGGCATCCTTTGCTCTGAGTGGTGTACACATGTGAGGAGATCTGGCCATCACCTTCTCCACCTGATGCCCAGCAGCTTTGATTTGACCGTTGGACCATTTGCCTTCCATGTCTAGCCTTTTGGAATTGACTAGATGTTTATGTGGTAGGGTGGGGTGGGAAGGGAGGGTACACTGAGTCCACTGAATCTTCCAGTCCCCAAGGTTGTAGATACACCAACCCATATCATTTCTGAGGGACTTGGGTTGTTGTCAGATGCTCTCTACTCCTAGTGCTCCTTCCCCGAAAGGAAATGGAATGATTTAATAATCTGCTTCTATGTAGATTAGATGTAATTTTTGCTCCCACCATAAGCTACAGAATCCTGATGCTGTGGTTCAGGCTAATCTCCAACACAGAATCCTTTCAACAACATTCCTAGGGAATGGTCAGGCCACATGCTTTCCAGAGTAGTTACACATCTTACATTTGAAGAATGCTCCCTTGGCTCGGAACCCACGCCATAGTCATTCCGCATCCGACTCGGGTTATGGTCTTGCCCCTTTCCCACTGAGCATTTTCCTCTGGTCAGAATCTGTGTTGTTTCTCTGAAAGTTTTGTTCCCAGAAATGCTCAGATATTTGATATTCGTTGGAGGATGAAGACTATGAAAAGCACTACTGTAATGAATGTAATTTAATGTTATAGCTTGTGTTTTACTAAGGTTTGTCTTCTCTTCAGCAGCCACATTCCTATTTTTGACTCACATTGAGCTTGAAATTATGAGAAACTGGACTTTTCTCAAGTGAACTTGTTACATCAGCGCTCTCTTAGTTGTTACCAATGTACATTATATATATATGCATACATTTGTATATGCACAAACACAGGCACACACATACTTGAAAAGCATTGTATCTATTTTACATTTCATTGGAAGTTTTGGTTAAAAACTTCTAACTCTGCATTTTGTTTCACCCACAAATCTGGTAAGTTTGCCTGTAGCCAGGTCAGATATAAATGTTCAGTATGTTTCCAAAGACAAGAGTCAGGCCATTTTTAAATAACCAAAACATTACACTAGATCCTACAGTTGCTATATACTATGTGCAAATCGCTTGCTAAAACAATCTTTAAACATGTTTCAAGCCTACATTTTAAAATGTAGCCTCTTTCTCTGGAATGTACTGATGCTCTTTTTTGCTCCCTGATCTGCAGACATCGACTGGTCTGGTTTGGCCTCCGTGGAAGCAGACTTGGCCTGCATATTCCATAGCCATCAATTAGTTACCTCTCTACCTTGACCCTCCTTCTTGAGCTCCTGTGGGCTGCCTGACCCTGGGCCGCTTGTCTGTAATCTAAACAACAAGGATAGAATGACGATGTTCTGAGTGACCGTGTAATGTGCTGTCTCTGCTTTCGGAAGCATCATGCCCTCTCCAATAGTGCTAACATCCTGAAATCAAGTGCTGCTTTTACCCATTTCTTATTTCTATTTAACATACCTTTATACAGGCATTTGCACATGTATATGTATGTGTATATGATGTGCGTACTTGTGCCGTGTAAACACAATGAATTAATTCGCCAGAAGTTTATTTGGAGAGGGAGCATGCAGGGAAGGATGTTGGAAGCCGGAGCAGGCCAACAGGGGACGGGCAACCCGGAGTTTGATGTTACCTGCAGGAAAACTCCGTACTTCCCTGCTCTGCTGTCTGAGTAAGCGCCCTGTGGGCAGTGAGGTGGTATCAATGGGATGAAACCAGATCCTGTATACCCTGATTTTATTCTCTTCTTTCTGAAGGTGAGTAAACTGAGAAACAGAAAGCCATTTTTCTCTCATCCACACAGGAAGTTAATGCAAGCCACAGCAGTACTGCGGGTTTCTGACTCGGACTGGGCTGTGTGGATGACAGAATTTCTACCTTTCTGAGCTCCTTTTGCAGTTGTATTAACTATGTTAATGTGTGTGAGCCTATGTTTAGCACCATGTGCAGTACCTAAAGAGTCATTTGCCTAACTTGTACCCATTGGCTTTGGTTGACTCTGCTTCCGTTTACTTCCTTCCTCATATAAATTGATCTTATAAAGGATGACTAGCTCACACAAGGAAAAACCTGTATTGCTTTTCAGAAGCGGAATTCTGTAAATAAGTAAATACAATGGCAACAAAGCTGCACTAAATTCAACCTCAGTCCTGTTACTTACTGCAAGCTCCCAGACTAGGCCTAATCCTGTGTTACTGGAAAAATAGAGAAATTATCAAGTGACATGGTATAGAAGACAGGCTAGAATGGATCAAGTTCTTTCTGAGCAACACCATCTGAGAAACAGAACACACGGTATGAAGAGGTCTGCCCACCTCAGAGAGAGTCGGTGACGTCCACATACAGGAAGTGCCTCCCGGTGCAGGCAAGTAGGTTCAGGGCTGAGACAGAGGAAAGAGATGCATGAAGCTCTGTGTGAAATGAGTCAGTGTTTGTGGGTTTGCAGCACTGCCGGGAGAGGCAGTTCCAGGGTGTCGTGGCCCTCAGAACAAAGGACTTTACCAGGAATGGGAGCAGGGGCATCAGGGAGGGCATCCTGAAGGGAGTGATGTCTAAACTGAGCTTTGCCTGCAAAGAGCTACTGAATTCTTACTGCAGGCCTGCAGGTTGGTGTTGACAGACACGTGTACCAAGAAAAGGTTCTAAGCAAGTTTAGTGAGGCTGGAGTACAGGTAGGGAAGTGGGAAGGGGAGGGGAGAAGTTGGAGAGAGAGTATGGAGACAGGTTTTGAAGATGTTTAAAGGCAAGAGCAAGCTTTGGAAGGGTTGGAGGTGACTGAGAGTGCGTGGTGGGCCTATGCTTCAGAATCATGATTCTGCTAGCAGGGTGAGACTGGATTGTAGGGCAGTAAGGGGCAACAGCGAAGGAGTGGGGTGTAGAGTAGGTATGCTCCCCGTTAGAATCTACCTCTTGCCACCTGTGTGACCTTCAGAAAATTAACTTCCCTGAGCCAAGTACTGTCAAAGTGACATCAGAGAGCACATGTAAAAGTACCAAGCACACATAGTGCCTGGCACAGAGGGTAAACAGATGAGCTGATAAAGATTTTGTTTACCTTCTTCATTTCATAGACA